CAAAGCAGGACCAATCCCCAACTAAACCATCCCAGCCAGGGCTTTGTCAACCCTGACCTTAAAAACTTCTAAGGAAGGAGATTCCACCACCTCCCTAGGTAACACATTCCATTGTTTCACCACCCTCCTAGTGAAAAAGTTTTTCCTAATATCCAACCTAAACCTCCCGCACTGCAACTTGAGACCATTACTCCTTGTTCTGTCATCTGCTACCACTTAGAACAGTCTAGATCCATCCTCTTTGGAACCCCCTTTCAGGTAGTTGAAAGCAGCTATCAAATCCCCCCTCATTCTTCTCTTCCACAGACTAAACAATCCCAGTTCCCTCAGCCTGTCCTCATAAGTCATGTGTTTCAGTACCCTAATCATTTTTATTGCCCTCCACTGGACGCTTTCCAATTTTTCCACATCCTTCTTGTAGTGTGGGGCCCAAAACTAGAGACAGTAGTCCAGATGAGGCCTCACCAATGTCGAATAGAGGGGAACGATCACATTCCCTCGATCTGCTGGCAATGCCTCTACCTATACATCCCAAAATGCCATTGACCTTCTTGGCAACAAGGGCACACTGTTGACTCATATCCAGCTTCCCGTCCACTGTAACCCGTAGGTCCTTTTCTGCACAGCTGCTGCCTAGCCATTCGGTCCCTAGTCTGTAGCAGTGCATGGGATTCTTCCGTCCTAAGTGCAGGACTCTGCACTTGTCCTTGCTGAACCTCATCAGATTTCTTTTGGCCCAATCCTCTAATTTGTCTAGGTCCCTCTATATCCTATCCCTACCCTCCAGCGTATCTACCTCTCCTCCCAGTTTCGTGTCATCTGCAAACTTGCTGAGGGTGCAATGCGCACCATCCTCCAGATCATTTATGAAGATATTGAACAAAACCGGCTCCAGGACCGACCCTTGGGGCGCTCCACATGATCCTGGCTGCCAACTAGACATGGAGCCATTGATCATTACCCGTTGAGCCCGACAATCTAGCCAACTTTCTATCCACCTTATAGTCCATTCATCCAGCCCATACTTCTTTAACTTGCTGGCAAGAATTCTGTGAGAGACGGTCTCAAAAGCTTTGCTAGAGTGAAGGAACAATACGTTCACCGCTTTCTTCTCATCCACAGAGCCAGTTATCTCTTCATAGAAGGCAATTAGATTAGTCAGGCATGACTTGCTCTTTGTGAATCCATGCTGACTGTTCCTGATCACTTTCCTCTCCTGTAAGTGCTTCAGAATTGATTCCTTGAGGACCTGCTCCATGATTTTTCCGGGGACTGAGGTAAGGCTGACTGTCCTGTAGTTCCCAGGATCCGCCTTCCTCCCTTTTTTAAAGATGGGCACTACATTAGCCTTTTTCCAGTCGTCCGGGAGTTCCCCCGATCGCCATGAGTTTTCAAAGATAATGACCAATGGCTCTGCAATCACATCCGCCAACTCCTTTAGCACTCTCGGATGCAGCGCATCCGGCCCCACGGACTTGTGCTCGTCCAGCTTTTCTAAATAGTCCTGAACCACTTCTTTCTCCACAGAGGGCTGTTCACCTCCTCCCCATGCTGTGCTGCCCAGTGCAGTAGTCAGGGAGCTGACCTTGTTTGTGAAGACAGAGGCAAAAAAAGCACTGAGTACATTAGCTTTTTCCACATCCTCTGTCACTAGGTTGCCTCCCTCATTCAGTAAGGGGCCCACGCTTTCCTTGTCTTTCTCCTTGTTGCTAACATACCTGAAGAAACCCTTCTTGTTACTCTTAACTTCTCTTGCTAGCTGCAACTCCAGGTGTGATTTGGCTTTCCTGCATGCCCGAGCATACTCTTCCCTGGTCATTCGTCCAATCTTCCACTTCTTGTAAGCTTCTTTTTTGTGTTTAAGATCCGCAAGGATTTCACTGTTAAGCCAAGCTGGTCGCCTGGCATATTTACTATTCTTTCTACACATTGGGATGGTTTGTCCCTGTAAGCTCAGTAAGGATTCTTTAAAATATAGCCAGCTCTCCTGGACTCCTTTCCTCCTCATGTTATTCTCCCAAGGGATCCTGCCTATCAGTTCCCTGAGGGAGTCAAAGTCCGCTTTTCTGAAGTCCAGGTCCGTATTCTGCTGCTCTTCTTTCTTCCCTGTGTCAGAATCCTGAACTCGACCATCTCATGGTCATTGCCTCCCAGATTCCCATCCACTTTAGCTTCCCCAACTAATTCTTCCCGGTTTGTGAGCAGCAGGTCAAGAAGAGCTCTGCCCCTATTTGGTTCCTCCAGCACTTGCACCAGGAAATTGTCCCCTACATTTTCAAAAACTTCCTGGATTGTCTGTGCACTGCTGTATTGCTCTCCCAGCAGATATCAGGGTGATTGAAGTCTCCCATGAGAACCAGGGCCTGTGATCTAGTAACTTCCATGAGTTGCTGGAAGAAAGCCTCGTCCACCTCATCCCTCTGGTCCGGTGGTCTATAGCAGACTCCCACTACGACATCACCCTTGTTGCTCACACTGCTCAACTTAATCCAGAGACTCTCAGGTTTTTCTGCAGTTTCATACTTGAGCTCTGAGCAGTCATACTGCTCCCTTACATACAATGCAACTGCCCCACCTATTCTGCCCTGCCTGTCCTTCCTGAACAGTTTATATCCATCCATAACAGTACTCCAGTCATGTGAGTTATCCCACCAAGTCTCTGTTATTCCAATCACATCATAATTCCTTGACTGTGCCAGGACTTCCCGTTCTCCCTGCTTGTTTCCCAGGCTTCTTGCATTTGTGTATAGGCATTTGAGATAAGTCTTTGATCGTCCCCCCTTTCTCAGTATGAGGCAAGAGCCCTCCCCTCTCGCACGCTCCTGCTCGTGCTTCCTCCCGGTATCACACTTCCCCACTTACCTCAGGGCTTTGGTTTCCTTCCCCCGGTGAACCTAGTTTAAAGCCCTCCTCACTAGGTTAACCAGCGTGCTTGCGAAGATGAATCATAGAATCATAGAATCATAGAATATAAGGGTTGGAAGGGACCCCAGAAGGTCATCTAGTCCAACCCCCTGCTCGAAGCAGGACCAATTCCCAGTTAAATCATCCCAGCCAGGGCTTTGTCAAGCCTGACCTTAAAAACCTCTAAGGAAGGAGATTCTACCACCTCCCTAGGTAATGCATTCCAGTGTTTCACCACCCTCTTAGTGAAAAAGTTTTTCCTAATATCCAATCTAAACCTCCCCCACTGCAGCTTGATGCTCTTCCCTCTCTCCGTTAGATGGAGCCCGTCTCTGCCTAGCACTTCTCCTTCTTGGAACACCATCCCATGGTCAAAGAATCCAAAGCCTTCTCTCTGACACTACCTGCGTAGCCATTCGTTGACTTCCACGATTCGACAGTCTCTACCTAGGCCTTTTCCTTCCACGGGGAGGATGGATGAGAAGACCACTTGCGCCTCAAACTCCTTTATCCTTCTTCCCAGAGCCAGGTAGTCTGCAGTGATCCGATCAAGGTCATTCTTGGCAATATCATTGCTACCCACGTGGAGAAGCAGGAAGGGGTAGAGATCCGAGGGCTTGATGAGTCTCGGCAATCTCTCCATCACATCGTGAATCCTAGCTCCTGGCAAGCAGCAGACTTCTTGGTTTTCCCAGTCGAGACGGCAGATAGATGACTCAGTCCCCCTCAGGAGAGAGTCCCCGACCACCACCACCTGCCTCCTCCTCTTGGGAGTGGTGGTTGTGGAACCCCCAACCCTAGGACAGGGCATCTCATGCTTTCCAATCGGCAGAGTCTCCTTCTGTTCCCTTCCCTCAGATGTATCATCTGGTCCACTCTCCGCATTAGTACCTGTGGAGAGAACATGAAAACGGTTGCTTACCTGTATCTGCATTGCTGGTACATGGACGCTCCCCTTTCTTCTTCTAGAGGTCACATGCTGCCAAATTTCTTCACCGTCCTCCTGTCCCCGCAGTGCAGCCTGCTCTGAATCTTCAGAACGTTGTGTCCGTAGAAGCGTATCCTGACGTCTGTCCAGGAAATCTTCGGTTTCTGTTATGCAATGCAGGGCCGATACCTTATATAGCTTAACATATATTTATTCAAATTTTTATGCTTTAAATCTTTTTATTATGTTAGAAAATGGTGAATGACACATTTCTTGTTTACTAGATGCTGATTAAATTTTTACTCATAATTTCTGTCACTCTGCTTTTGGATGGAAATTGGAATTCAATTTAAAATGAACAAAAACGTGATTTCCATATTTTTTTATTAGTTAACTAAACTATCTTAAGTGTGTTGAATACAAAAGAAGAAAAAGCAAGTTTATCAGAACTTGCTTTGCATTGAAAACTAACTGGTTTATTAAACAAAGTATTATCTTTAGTTAGTGAACTGAACTAATTGTTTCTGGTCATCATGCCCTTCCATATTTTTGAACTAGTTGATCTCATCCTCTTGCACCTAGTTTATATTCAGAGATTAGAAGAAGGAAACAAATTTTCCTGCTTTTTCAACCTCCAGTTATTTTCTCAACTTTGAGCTGATCTAGTTGAAAAACTGAAAAGAAAGATAGTACCGGTATTATCTCTGCACCTGTGGAAGAGGATACTGCTGTCAAAGCCGAATTAACACTTCACCAAACTCTGTTTCCAGGTGCTTAGCCAGTGACTTCCACCAGTTCTGCGGTCTGACTTTCTTTAAAACTTCAGCAGCACAAATATACCATGTCAATGTTATTTTTAAATTTAATTTACATTATTTTAAGTTATGGTATTAATATAGGTTGGCATATTTTCAGATTTCAAATAGGTTTATTTTTCAAATAAAGAAATCTTATTTAAATTAAACAATCAATTTTGAAAAAATGGTTAATTTTTATCCACCTTGTGTGGATGTGGATGTGTGAGATTGCTGTCTTTGCTTCCTCTCTTAAGCAGGATAGGCTTTTAACCAGAATTATCCTCTTTCACAATAGTGGCATTGTGGATTTTTGGCCATCTAATAGTCTTCTTCAGCAACTCCAAATTTTCATTCAAATTTTCTGATTTCAGATACAGTCCGAGAAACAACAGCAGCACAACAAGCTCTACTGGTCGCTAAAAACATTGATTTGTTTCCAACAAATCAAGAGCGCTTTTCTGAAGGGAATGTAGATGTGTGGTGGATTGTTCATGATGGTGGCATGCTGATGTTGCTTCCTTTCCTGCTTCGACAGCACAAGGTACAGTATATGACTCAAAAAGGGAAATCTTGTCTTAGAAAATGAGTAGGAATGACTTTTCTTTCACTAAGCATTACATAAAATTACTAAATAAATTCTTATAAACTTTTTTACTTAGCTGTTTAAAGGACTGTGAACAGAAGGGGAAAAATTATTTCTACGTTTGTCATATAAAATGCCTTTTCCCTTACATAGGTGTGGAGAAAATGCAAAATGCGTATCTTCACTGTTGCCCAAATGGATGACAACAGCATTCAAATGAAAAAGGACCTTCAGATATTTTTGTATCATCTTCGACTTAATGCTGAGGTGGAGGTTGTTGAAATGGTAAGCTCCTATATATTTTATCTGTTACCTGAAAACCTTGAACTAAACTTGGAAGTTCTTCCTCAGACTCCTGGAATTTCTTTTGCCTAATGACATTTGGAGGGTAAACTAAGTAAGGGATTGTAGTATTTGGCCTGAAATGGCAGGAAAAGCAAAATTTAATGTTCCTACAGCAATGTTAACTCAACCACATAATGCATCCTATATATTTTATGGTGTATTTTTTACAATATAAGCAGTAATAGGTGACACATAGGTCAAATACTGCACATATGCAATATGGTTGAGTTAAGGTTCCATATTGTACCTTAACACGTGTGTTTTCTGACTGTGATTTTAACTGGGCAACCTTAATATTGCATTACCATAAATTTTTGTATTTCATTTCCTAGTTACTTTAAAAGAGTGGAGAGAAAAAAATTCCCTGTTGTTGTTTTATAAATATAAATTACACACAGAAAGCTATATTAAAAATACTCAAAACTAAGGAAAGAGAGAATTCATGTTGCCTGCAATCTCAGTTTGACCCCCTTGTACGTATGCTTTATGATACAGGTTTTAATTACATGATCACAAACTATTTTTTCCATAAGACCCCGCCTCATTCAGTGCACAAGATGGAAAATATTCATTGAATGAGCAGCTATTCAAAATTTTGTTTTATCCATAGAGCTTAATGTGTGACCCCCGTTTTGTTCACTGTACACTATTCAAACCCTATTATGAATACAGAATTATGAATTTCCTCATAGTCTTTTCTTTGGCACTGATTAGAATAAGTATTGAAGTGCTTCAGCAACATTAATTAATTTTCATAATACCCCATGAGACTGGGGCTATTATTCCTATTTATAAACTCAGGCACAAAGAAATTAAGGCAAACATTGTCAAAAGTGTCCACTAATTTTGGGTCCCCAATCTGAGATGATTATGGCCTCATTTTTAAGTGATTTTAGTATTGTACAGCACTTTATATGTTCAAAGCACAGCTCCAATTGACTTCAGCTGTAGGTGTGAATGTTCAGAGCTTCTGCAAATCAGGCCCCAGATACCTCATGTTGGGCTAAAAAAAAAGAGGAACACACAATTAGTGACACCTGGGAAAAGTTTGGTCAACATAACTTGCCTAGTATAGGAATTCACTGGCAGAGATGAAGATTTGAAACCAGTTCTCCAGGGCAGCATTCAGTTGCCTTAGCCATATGACCATTATTTCTCTTCCTGTAATCCCCTGCCTCATTGACTACACACCTTCCAATTTCTGCAACAAATGAGGCAGGAGAACAAACAAAGAACAATAGTCTGTGATCACTACGCACACAGGGGGCTGAATTACATTTGCACTGTCATAGTCAGGAAGGAGACATGCTGTAGTGCTCTGTATTAGAGTTTCTTAAGGGTGATGGCTTCATGCCCAGACATATTGAATTTCTTTAGGCCAGGCAGAAGGTGACAGAGATGGGTATATCTAAGGCCAAGTCATCATCCACCATGATGTGACAGACTGTTCTAGCCAACAGGAGATGGTAGAAAGTTGTGGATGCTGCTATGTGAGAGTTTGTGATGAGCAAGGAATCCAAAAATAAGTTCTAAATGTCTCCTTTCCCAGCCAGTCCCATTCTGCCCCCCAACTCTGGCTTACAGTCTCCACATCCAATCTCAGTCTTTCCACCCCTACTCTCAGTCTTTCCACCCCTACTCTCAGTCTCCTCACTAGGTTCGATGTCCTAATTCCCTTACACCTTCCCACCCTAGGCTCCTTGTCCCTGTCTCCTTCCAAGCCTCTCCCTCTTCTCCACTTCCTTCTCAGTCCCAATCTACTACCTCCACCTCCCTCTCCCTCTTGTCCCTTCTGCATTCAGTCAGGCAGCTTCCTCCTCCACACTACCTGGGCCCAGCAAAGGAACCTTGAGGGCATAAGAGAGATTGTCTTCCTGCTATCAGTTACAGTGCTCAGTGGAGAGCAGGAGCAGGAATTGCAGGAAGTCCTTCTCAGCCTCTGAATCTCTGGGATGGAGCATGTTCAGTCCCTCTGTGGCAATGGTGCATGTGCAGTCCAATAAGAACATAGGAGCTGTGAGGGATGGAGCATGCCTAATTCAGAAGGGATTTTCTGGTAATCTAGCTGCCAAATTCTAAGAGCATGAGATTTTTCAAAGGTTTATAACTTGGCCAAATTTGGGGAGATTTTTACAGGAATGGAAAAAGGCACATCCCTGATGACAGGGTGACATCTATGCCAAATTTCAAGCCCTTGCTTCAAAGCATAGAAGAGCTAGAGCTTTTCAATGAAATGGTTGTAAGAATTTTCTTAACACAAGCAAAATGTATTTGGCTACCTATGCCAACCTATCACAAATAAAATAAAATCAGACAAAAACATTGACAAAAAGATTCACTGCCAACAAAAGATTCTCCTAGCTCTTAGTTTTAAATTCCCACTCAATATCCATGTTTTCTTGATCAAGGGTCTCTAACAACATTTTTTTTAAATAAGCTGTCATTTTACCCTCCCTCTTCGTCTCGCCCCCGCCCCACCCGCTGGTGGTATTTACCATCCACTCCAAAAGTGTCTCCAAAATATTTTCCCATTGATTTTCACCAACATATAGGGCCATGTACCTAATTTAGAGGTGTCAGCTTCTCCATCACTTCAGTGAGCAATGCCAGTGGAAAGTCAAGCAGAGAAGACTCCATTTTTCCCTACTAGGCAGAGTCAGAAATTGCTATGTGTGGTTCCAAGCTATTTTATCCACAAAATAATTTGAAGATTCCTTGAAGCAAAAATGCACAATCCTGTCCTCTGAAGTAAGCAAACCCTGATTAAGCCAAGTGCTTTACCACCTGAAACTGCTTCTCTAGTTGGAATTTTGAAGCTGCTTTGGTGGATGTGAAGAAACAGAGCCACAGCAAAACTTTGCAAAAATTCTCTACGTTGCTATTGGTCAAAGTGTCAGCAGGACTTCCAACACCAGCAGTTTACCCATCTTCCTTCTTGGTTCATGAGCTGCAGGTCTCCAGCGAGGATGAAGCTGAAGAGATGATACTTAAGAGTCACTCTCTGGTTACTCAAGGATAAAAAATTATTGGAATGTCTTAGAGGCCTCATTAGTACAGTGCCTCTCAGCAAAACAGTATTCATTCTGTGCACCTTCTGAAACCTAGTAGGATGCCTCACCCTCTGAGACTATGCAATTAAAACAGCTCCTTCATTCCAGGGGGGAGAGGTTCCCCTGGATGTGGCATGACATGGTTGCCATCTCCACACATTCCCAATCCAACCCAAGCATAAGTTCCAGAGTGAGCCAAAAAACAGAAACAAGGAGTCTGGTGGCACCTTAAAAACTAACAGATTTATTTGGGCATAAGGTTTCGTGGGTAAAAAACCACTTTTTCAGATGTATGGAGTGAAAATTACAGATGCAGGAATTATATACTGACACCTGAAGAGAAGGGAGTTACCTCACAAGTGGAGAACCAGTGTTGACAGGGCCAATTCAATCAGGGTGGATGTAGTCTACTCCCTATAATAGATGAGGAGGTGTCAATTCCAGGAGAGGCAAAGCTGCTTTTGTAATGAGCCAGCCACTCCCTGTTGCTATTCAAGCCCAAATTAATGGAGTTAAATTTGCAAATGAATTTTAGTTCTGCTGTTTCTCTTTGAAGTCTGTTTCTGAAGTGTTTTTGTTCAAGTGTCAATACTTTCAAATCTGTTATAGAATGTCCAGGAAGACTGAAGTGTTCTCCTACTGGCTTTTGTATGTTACCATTTAAAAGAATAAATGGACACAAATCGGACATCAGGAATGGTAACATAAAAAAGATTCCAGAAGGTGCTCTGAGCCCTCCAAATATGAATTTTCTGGGGTCTCTTCCCCTACTCACCTCCTCAGTGGGCCTGTTGAAATCCCTGGACAGCCTGTGGGCACCAACTCAATGGGGTTCTCATCTTCATGTTTCATGTTTAGACATTCCTCAGGCTCCACGACAACCACCAGCATCACAACTCCAAATAAATCCTCCTCCTTCCTGGGGGACGCAGTGATGCCACCACCACCTTCCTATGCAGATGATTTTAGGTTGTTCTGGGGCAGAATTGGAGAATCTTTTCAACCTTTCACTGAAGAGTACAAGAATCCCAGCACTTTGTCATGGACTTTCTTCATACCACCCCCTCAAGCCAAGATTGCACTGCCTGTTAACCAGGCACTCTTCTCACTAGCCCGTAATATGTGGTAGACCCCTGCCACTTTTGCACCTACCTGCAAATGGGCAGACAAAAAATATTACATACCAGCCAAGGAACTGTAATATTTTTTCTCTTATCCCATTCCCAACTCCTTGGTAGTGGATACAGCTAACGAGATAAACCACCGAGCTCGCTCAAGATCTACACCTTCTGATAAAGGAGGATGTTATTCTTCCACTACTCTCCATTTTGAGGTGGCAGATTATCAAGCCCTGATGGCAAAATATGGTTTTAACAGTTCTATTTCAAACCCATGGAACCTCCTCCAAGGAGGCCCAGACTCCAAAAGAGAGTACCAGCTCAAACGGCAACCTCCTTACCCAGGCCCCCTTCCAAATGACTGTTTTGACAATTTGGTCAAGGGCCACAAACAATCCCCTTCTGTGGATTTGCTGACCAAACCAGTCTTCCACTTCCCCTTTAGGGACCACATGTCACAATTTTACCTTCTTGGGAGCTTATCACCACTGACAGGTGGATTTTAAAGGTGGAGGCTATGGGATATTCTATCCATTTCTATGCTATGCCTCTCTCCCATCCCCATCCCTCTCATGAGAATCTTTTAAAGCAGGAGGTTCAATCCCTACAGCAGTTGGAGATGATAGTCAGTTCCCCCAGAATTTGTGGGAAAAGGGTTTTATTCCAAATTGTTCTGGTTCCCAAAAGAACATGGTTAGAGACTGATCATAGACCTCTGGAACCTGAATACTTACATCCTTTCACAGCACTTCAGGATGGTGACTTTTACTTC